CTGTTCACTTTGCTCTTTTTCGTGCGAATGGGGATTCCACATATCCAGCCTTCGTTTCACTGTCCAGTTCCTGCCCTCCAATTGGACGACCAGTCCAGCACGATGGACCTTCTCCTCCACAATGATAACTTTCGGCAAGCTGGCAGGAGCAGTCCCTGCGCAATTCCGCACCCCGTGTCACAATGAGACTCCACAATTCAAGCTCATTCACACAGATCAGCGCCCTTCCCGCAGCCTGCATACTGAAGTTCCACGGTTCCGTCTGGGAGCGAATGGCACCCAGCCAGCGTTCACGCGCTCGCACATGCCGATATCGGAGCCCGATATCCGGAGTCCGATATCCGGAGTCCGATAATCGGACGCATCGATGTGTCCAACGCGGAAGGCAAGATGGGGCATGTCAGTAGTTCCATATCCAATCCATCATACAGCCCCGATGCCGGACCATCAGTCACCACCCACGCCCCATGGTCGTTGCACTGGCCCCCACAGCGAGAACAGACAACGCGAAGAGTTCCAGGTCACACACCCGCGCACCTGATCGACAGGCAGGGGCCCTGCTGCTTTTGCCGACGCTTGCCGGCGCCTTCGCCATGAAGCCCCAGAGGCCATCAATCGCAAGGGGGGCAGGCGCGCCCGCACAGCGAGCTGCCCTGCGGCGAGGGGACTTTTGTAACCGGGGCCTGCGCTCGCTTCAGTGCGGGTTCCCGCTGATTTACAAGTCTGCAGTCAGCAGGCCAGCGAAGGACCAGGGAGGATCGGGAAGGGCATCCGATGCAGCACCATCTACGTGGCGCCAATGAGAGCAATGGGAGCGATGGCTGCAGTCACGAAATTGGGCCGCTTCTGGCCATTTTGCAGAGTGCGCTTCATGCTGCAAAATACTCTACACTGAACACCGCATAGCTGCAATGGTGGCGCATTTTCAGATTCTGTGAGAGTTCTGGCGCGCACATCCATACTATGATATATTCAAACCTTCCGTATTCTGATGTTTCAACGTTGTGCCTTTTGCTCACCATTAGTTTGACAGTATGTATACATATTCTGGTGGTCTCCATCCTGTCATTCTCTTCTCAAGTCGGCATCTGGGAGAGTTGATGTTCCCTTGACGAGATCGTTTTGACATCTTATGTCCTGTTCTGACGCTGTGTGTGGGTAAAATATCGGATTATGTTACATCCGCATTGTCCTTAATTACATGTGTGTTTTGCATTGTGGGATCCTGGCATTAGGAAAAATGGCCAAATAAGACGTTTCCAAACATGTACAAAGCTTATGGGTTTGTGCTATTTTAGTTCTTTTATCATGCAGAACATTAATGAAATGCATATATGTGTTTTCTAAAAAAGTTTTATTTGGTCATTTTTTGGCTAGCGTGGCCGAGTCTATATCAGTACAAACCTGGCCCATTCGCTCACCATTGTGACAAATATGGGTAGCACGCGTGAGCACATGGGCCAAATTGGCCCATGGATTGAATCCATTCATATAATAGCATCATCTGGCGAGCTGCGCATTCGGATTGTTATCGTTTGGATGTGCATGGGCCACGATCTGCACACCTCGGTTGGCGCATCAGTGGACATAAATGCACGTTGTGTGAAGACTGATGTGCTTCGAGCTCGTCTGTTTGCACGTCATATGCGACGTTCCAACGGGCGCACTCGAAACGTTTACACAGATATTGAGCATGAGAGAATGCATCAATGTTGGATAGTTGTTGACGCCCACAGCTACCGCATGTTGGGCTCTGACAAAACCTTGTTCAGCAGAGGGAGTCAGCGAATGAGGGTACGTGCTGCAAAGAGCCTTTTGGGAACCATATCATATGGCTGGCAAGGAGTCATTTGCTTTTGTTTTGCCGCATGCTACATCGCGGTGAGCAGCTGGGCCGCCGCGGACCTGACGGCATACGAAAACCGTCTGGCATATGTCGTGAGTTTAAAATCATGAATGAATCAGCAGGCGTGGTTTGTACATGATTGCGACCTCACGGTATGTAGCAGAATGTCAGTATGAATTTCTTCGTTTTGTTCGTTTCGTCTTTTAATGTGCAAATGGGGACTCCTCGTTGAAAGCCATGAAATTCTGTTTTAGAATTGCATTGACCCTTTGCATGTATGTGGGCATTTGCCCTGGCGTTTAAGTGCGTGATGGATTCAAGAAGCGACAATTTCGCACAAAAAATGTGTCAATTATCTGACAGCAAAATGTGAAGGAGTTCTTACACTGGCAAAACCTGGTATGTGTTCCAGAAGTGTCGTTCGTTCTATGATGGGTTCCGTGATCAACTGCACCTCCCCTCCACTAGCTCATAACCGCACTTGAGGCACCATCGCCACGAGCCCTGCGCACACCGATACCGGAGACATGCTAGCCGATACCGGAAGTGCACAAACCGAAGTCCACTTGGCTGGTGCACAGGCAACCACCGACGCCCCTCAACATGTTCCATCATCGAGCTCCATGCTCGTTTCCTATATTTTCCATATTGCCCACTCATCTCCGCCTCTTTCGTTCAAGAGACTGGCCCAAACTACAACAAAACTACTTCCCAGCCGGCCAGGAGAAGGACGTCTGGCACACAACCCCATCTCCTCCCACCTATCTATATTTGTGTATATTTGCGCCGCTGGCCTCACATCGATGGCCCCATTGGGACCTGTTCGCGCCCATCTAAATCCTATTTGGCTCCTCGAGATGCCCTTCTGTGCATGTAGGAGCTCATTGCCGTCCTCATTCAGGCACAACTGGGCCAACAAAACTTGCACAGGCCCACATTTCAGATAAGTCCAGTGGCCGCTCTCCATTGGCTCCCTTTGGCGCCGGCCTGGGCTACTCTGCTGCACCTCCACTTTGCACCAACAGCTTGATCAGCGGCGCATTTGCCCAAAATCTTCATTTTCTGCGCTCGCTTAGCCCATGGCGTGCCCCCCGTCCCATTCCGATTCCTCCCCCTCCCCCTTCGTCGGAATGTACTCCGCCGCCTCGTCAGCATCATCGTCCTCCTCTCTCAGGGCACCGTCCCGGCAGAGGGCCTCGTCCAGCTGCACGTAGTTGACGATCTGGCGCCGCCTCTTGGAGCGGGCGGGCGGCTGGCTGTCGCACGTCTCTGGCCCTCGCTTGCGTCCCTTAAGGCTCTGAGCCCACAAAGAAACCCAGTCAAACCACCAGAGGATTAAAATAACATTAAGAGCAATAGTAAATAAGTGTATGCATATGTACATTCTTCTTCTTGCTTAACATTTCGCCCTGTGCTTGGGACTCCCCTGCAGAGACTTCTAGGCTTCTATTAGCAATGCTGATATCTTGCTTTCTTTCTGTGTGGGATCCTACATCGGCTCCTGCTGGAAAAGTATCCTACTGTACTTTGAGAGTTGCAGGGGAATTCCCTCGTTCTTAGATACATGTAACACATTTTGGAATATATATATATATATATATGAATAAACGCAACAAATTAAAATAAGTATAAGCTTAAAAACAACTCAACGAATGAATAAAATATATGTTATGAAGGACTATCATATTGCATGAATGAATGAATATGAAACTACAGCACGAAATGAATGAATAAATAAATGAACGAACAAAACAACAAATGAACGGGCCGATCAAGCATGTTACCATGCCCACAACCGGCAGCCAGATCCAATTCCGAGCCAAGACAACGCGTGAATGTGTGAGCGCGTCTGCATTCATCCAATACTACGACCGAGCACAGCAACCCCAAATCATAAACAACGGCGCATTCCAACCGAAGAGATCCTTGGTGGGCACGACGCTGTCGCCCAGCGCACCTGCGAGCAGACCTCCGTTCCATCAGAGCTGGAGTGGTTCATTATTTCACCGCCCATTCGCTCATAAGCGCGCGCCTGGGTCGCCACAGAAAGGGTCTCGGAGTCGCTCTCCATTTCCGGCATCGATGCGCTTGGCGAGGCGTTCCCCCCATTGGCCCCGTCCTCCTGCTCCTCCTCGGCATGGCCATGGGGGCTGCGACGGAGGCACACACACGAGTGTCATGTGAGCACCATCCAGACACGCATGGTGCACGTGAAATCAATCCAGGGCGCGCCCCACATCGAGTAGCCGAAGTCCGCTGGGAACCAAAACCGCAAGTAGCTGAATCGATACAAGGATGAGCAAGCCAGAAAAGCAGCTGTGCAGATGCCAAAAACGAGAGTCACAGGCATGGCTCTGACTGGCCCAAGCCCCATGCCCTAAAATTCCAGGGACGGTCCAGTCAGTCCAGTCAGGTCCCATTCAGGGCAGTCGGAGCCTGACTGTGAATTGCGCCCTTGACGGGCAAACAGTGGCCCAGCAAGCGGTGAAAGCCGCAAGAGACAAAAGACAATAACATACAGCCCTGCGGGGAAGGCTCAGCCTGAGACATTTGCGGTTGCCAACCCCTTGAAAAGGAGCTGCAACCCTTCAAGATTGACTTGACAAGACAACGCGTCGCCTGTGTTCCTTGTAGGCGATGGCGGGAGCGTGTACATCCGATAAAGTTTATGCCGCGCGTCCGTTCGTTTGAAAAGTCAGTGTTGGCCGGCATTGCCATCCATGTCTTTGGCGATCACGCGCACGCACCAAAATTGCTAATCTTCAATTTTCTAGCGTGAAACTGGAAACACAGAATGAAGCGTGCACAACAACCACTATGTTCAGATTGCCTCATGCGCTTGCACGTCAAAATACTTGAGACAAACTCCTTCAGCTTTCTCCCTGGCAGCCTCCAAAGTTTTGGATATGGGCTCAAGACTGCGTGGAGGTGCCGGCCAAAGATTTTCCTGCGAACAAGAAGGCACCGTGCCACACATCGGGTACACCACTCCTCACACAGAATGGCTTGGCTGTGACTGCGATATACGATCTACATTGCAGGCAGACTGCCACCAATTGGTTATGCAGACTACCATTAACTGAACAATAGTTTATTATCAGATAAGGTAGACTATCAATAATGTACACACGTGAAGCTGCTCAGCTCAGTTCACCTGAAGTCCTTGTCCTCCTCGTCGTCTTCTGAGGCCAAGTCCCCCGCCAGCACCGCCCCAATGGGAACCTCGTCGTCGTAATCAGAACCGCCGTCACAGCAGCGCAGCGGCATGCCGCTCTGCGCACGAGCGTAGGCCTCGGCAGTTTTCGAAGCGGATGCAGCAGTGGCGGCAGCGGCGTCTCCTTGCCCACTTGACAAACTGGCTTTGGGCTCGTTGGCCAAATTTTCGCGTTTGCCATCCTCTGGAGGCTTGAAGATTGTGTCAGGCTTTGTGGCCAGGCTGTAGACCGTGTCGAAGTGCTCGTTCAGGGAAGCGAGGATCTCGTTCTGGAGTGGCAAGGTAGGCTGCTGTTACGCAGAGGAAACAGCCCTCCAAGCAGCTGCCATACAAGCTCAATGCTCTAAAGTACAAGCACTTGCGCCTTCTCGCGACCGACAAGGGCGACAATATGGTCAATCGCATTTGTCGAAATACGGCACAGCAGTATGTCGTAATATTCTCTCGACTTTAGGAATATGAAATATTGTTCCCCCGTTCAGAAACGTGTGAATTGAAACTGATTGAATCTTCCACCGCTGTCGATCCGGCATCATGAAGTCAGTTCAAGAGTCATGTCATTGCCACTGCCAGTAGCCAGCCCATCACATTCAAGTCTGTACTACATTAAACATTGAAATGAAACAATCTAGCACAGGTTGCTTTTCTGGGCTGCTGCTTGTGCTGCTGAAATAAATTGTCGATAGAAAATATTGGGGCACATGTGCGACTGACTGAATTCCCAAAGAACTAAAGTAGAAGAACTGAAGCAGAAGATTTTGCTGCACGTCGTCGTTAGCATATTCGCTTTCTCCGCTGCACCCTTTCACATTGGCTTCTTTTGGCAATTATTCGCCTATGCTAGATGTGGCCGGCCCATAGTCGGACAGCTGCTAATGTTGCACCAATGCACCAATGGTCGAACAAGCCATTAAATTTAGTATCGAATGCCACCAAAGACAGCTCGAGAGATCTGAGAACATCTCCAGCCCCCGTGAGCAACGAGTTGATCATGAGCTAAATGATGGTCACTTAGATGGCGTAGCAACCCACTGCATCAACTCTTGACGGTGCTCCAATCGGACACAAATACCAGCCATTCGCTGCACCAGCCAATATCAGGCAAGCAATTACGTGTAGATGCTGAGATCCCGTGCAGCCAGCCGTCATCAAAAGAGGCAGATATCCACATAACGTCGGAATATGAAACACTTGACAAACATCAACATCATGAATGTGGAATATTGCTCAACAAACCCTGGCTGAGCTCTGTCAAACACCTGCAGATGCATCAACCAGATATCTCTTTGTAGTTCCACGGCCGTAATGGGTGGCTTCAGGCACAGCTGGTGGTACGCTCGCCGGCACGGCCCATCGCAAAGCACGATGTCGTTGCCCTTGGGGCAAGAAATTGAACACAGCCATAAGAATTACCAGTGAATTTGAGCGCAGAAAGAAAATCCACTCCTAATCAAAGCAATTGGCTATTGAATCGAACGACGCAACGGAAAGGCAATGCACATAATCCAGCAGAGCATGGTGCCCGGTGGAGTTAACTCAGCCACATAACCTTGAGTGGATTAAATTTGTAGTAAAACACTGCCTTTCACCGCCCACTCCTGTGGAATTATGAACCACTTTTCCGCACACTGCTACAAGGGCGGTTACTATGACAAGGGAGTAGAATGCTGCGAGTCCCACACCCATTATGGATATACATTTGCAGGAACGGCAGCCATTTCGTAACTGAGCTTGACATGACAGGCAGGTCCTCCAAATCTCCTTTGAAGCTGGATAGAATGACCTCTTCATCTGTTTGAATGCACAGGTCGACCAAATCTTTGCCCCATCACTGTGGCCTGTAACGCAGGGTGCATTAGGCCAGCTAGATACCAGTACGGACGCATGTCCTTGACTAAACAAGGTGAGAAACAGACCAAGGGACACAGCGCTGCACAATAGTGGAGTATCAGCTGTCCCCTGGTCTGCACGCGGAGATCACCAGGTTGCCACCAAGAAACGTTTGGAAGTGCATTCTGAGGTTGCAATAAGTACCCTGAATTGCACTCCAGATGCAAAGGATATTCCTCACACTTGACCAAAGCAGCACAGGGTTGCACTATGACGTACTTCAGAAGTGTTCTGCTGCAAGCTGGGGCTTTGCTATACCATTTCTGTTCACATCAAGCAACCAGTACCATCACGAGCTTCACACACCTTCTCTTCCGAAGCAAGTCCACCACATCTGGAACAGCCAATAGCATCAATGATTGGCTCCCCCAAGGGGCTGAAGGCCGATTCTGGCATCGGAGTATCCCCTTCGGCTTCATCGCAGACAGCGACGCACTCTCTGATCTTCTGCTGGGAGCGTCGTATCTGCTCCCTGGCTCTCTCCAACTCAGCCGTCGGTTTCACAACGTTTCGGCTGCGCACAGTGCACACCACTGCCTGAGGGTGGTACGCAGGATCCATGACTACAATTGCTGTCAAGTGCGAAACAGCACCCCTGCACCTGAAAGGTGATGAATCTAAAGGCAACCAAGCAGCCTTTTCAGCTAAACGCACTTGGCTGTGGCACATTTTGTACAGCCTCACTGGCAGATGCATGTTGGACATTGGACGTTGAACGTTGGTCTCTGGCAGCAGTACTGCTGTGGGACAAGTTCATCACAGAGCACCATAAAATTTCGAGCAACAACAAGCCCATGGTGTTGCCCCAGGATGAATTCCAAACGGCTCAAACACCCATGACATGCTTGAACATCGCCACACGACTTCAACCCCATCCAAATCTCCAAAACTCTGGCCCCGCCCCACAAACACACACAAGGGGCCTCTCTCTACTTTTCCATTTTTCACTTGCATTCCTGCGCACATTACTGGGCACAAGGGTTGAGATTTAGGGCTGTGGACATTCCTGAAGGTCTAGCTTCTGACTGAGAAACAATATTCCTTATTATGTGACCCGACTAACAGTGGCCACAAACAAGAGCCAATGCACAGGCCAACCCAGCACCCATTCCCCATTTCTTGTCATCAAGAGGAGGTGAATCCAGGCAAAGGCATCACATCCATCCTCACCTGGCCCCATTCCAGCCGTCAGATTGGTAGGCGCTCAACAGGAGCTCTTCCCTCTTTATCCTCTGAACATGGTTCCTCACGCGCTGCAGTGCAAGCTGAAGGGGCTTGCGCTGCTGCTCCTTCCCCTTCCTGGCCTTCTTCCTTGGCCTCGTGCGCTGCATCCGACCCGCAGACGGCTGCCTTTGGTGGATGGGCTGCGGCTCACAGCCGATTTTGTTCCTGCTCTTGATGCTGGCGACGGAGGCAACCACGCTTGTGGGCGTTGAGTTCCCTCTGGTGCTGCGGAATGGTGTGCCCATCAGGCGCACGCAGCCAGCGTCCCACATGCAGACGTTCACTCCGTTCACTTTGAAGTGAACAACTATTCTGTGGACACATGCAAAAGAAGGTGAGCCGTGCCTACACAAGGGGGTGCGTTGTATGTCCTGCTGTGGCCCAATTGCGGGTAGGACTGCCGTCCTGGCCAACAGTTTCCATACAAGTCACAATGTACCTGGCCAGTTTCATCACAATGCACAGTCTGTTCCAGAATGTTTGCTGATGATGGACATACACGCTTCTGGTGAAAACACTGAAGGCACATGTGGTCACAGCTCTCATCATATAGGAGATGAGAAAGCCATGTATGGACCTCCACAGGCATCAGTGCAGGCAGCTGGAAATGCCTGACAGTACATTCCTTGTCATGTGCTTGGGCCACAGAACTGGCCAAGCAGGCAGTATAAGACTCCCTTGGAAGAAGCTTTCATTGTGGTGACTGCATCTGAACAGATCTTACTAGCTGCCATTTGTCGTGCTTCAGTGCCTGCTGTTAGAGACTGGGTGGTGCAAACATTTTAGGCACAATAGGCGGTACTGCCGATGTTGCCACCTTATGTGTAGCAAACTGGGTTGCTAGAGGTACAAAGCAGCCACACAATGAATAAAGAACGCAGCCGTACCCATTGGCTTCCCGTTTTTGGCCTGCTTGCTTTCCCTCCTCCCTCTCTTGCTTGCTCATCGCTGAAGGGAGAGCCAGAACATCAGCACCACCACAAGTGCCAGAGGCTGTGAGTTGGGCAACCGATGGCCCTCCAGCAGTGCCAGCTGGCAAGGTCAGGACTAAGCAAGTCACTGAAATGGGCAATAGATGCACATTGAGAGCAGCACAAGCAGCCAATGTTGCCATCTTCAACAGCACCTACCACCAGATGCGGCCTACAAGAAAAAATTTGAAGTTTCCCTTGTGCAGTTACAGTTGACCCACCTGCAGTAGGCGTTCCGGAACGTAACGGATGGCTGTGCTGTGGTTCCACAAATGGTTCACTCCTGCTGCCACCAGGAGCTGCTACTGCAGCCATCTCCACCTCGTGAGGGCCTGTGCGCAACACCAGCTGGAAGTTGTAAGAAAGTCTGCACAGGACAAGCGCCAAGGAAACACAACAGGCCTGTTACAACAAGTTGCTCGTGGCAAGGCCCTTGCCTGAACCAGGCCAGCAGGACTGTGTACAGAACACCGTCCTATGTTGTCAATTCTGTACAGTTTCCCAAGGCAGCTTTGTTGCAGGAGCTAGATGGTAGGAGCGAAGCACTTGGTATCCCAGCGTGCCAAGCAATAAGCTCCACTGCTAAGCAGCTTGACGCACGTCTGGCTGCACATTTTGTGAGGTCAATTTGCACGACGCCAGGGGCACAATGCAGCCCACACGTCCGGGTCATGGGCGAGCCCATGTTTCAGTCTAAGGCCTTGTTTCACACAGTCACCTCAGAGCCCACCCTCATGAAAAGCAGCCTCTTCGGGTAGCAAACTGCCAGCAAGTCATATGGTGGGGTGGGCTCGTTAGGAGCAGTAGTTTGGTCCTCGATTGGCAAACAAAAGGAATATCTATCCGGTGCCCGAACTGCGGACGGATGCCGGGTCAATGGCCCAAAACACACCTCCATGCCAACCGGCCTCAAAATTTTTTGTGGAATTGTGCGGCCATGGGGCGGCACGCGTTTTCACCTGTCCCCTCTGGCGGAACAATGTGCCATGTGGCCGTCTCGACAGCTTGTTTTGGGCGTGAGCAGCGATTGGGTCAAGACTTTCTCACACCGGGAATAGCACCAGCAGGTTCATGACGCCCTGCAACTCTTGAGGCGATCCATTCGTGCAATCGACCTCGCGGACGGAGGCACCCTTTGGCGTGTCCTGTGCGCTGGCTCCTGGGAGCGGCAACGCAGTCCTGGC